CCCCAAAACCCCAAAACCCCAAAACCCCAAAACCCCATATTTAATAATAAAATTGAATGGAAAAATCAATTTCAAAAACCTCTCAAGAAAAGTCAGGCTCTAGCTTGCAATATGAGCCATATGATCCTCACCAAGAGCCTAAAGAAATGTGTGATAGGAATTCGAACAGTAGTAACCATAAGTGGGGATGTTTAAAATTCTCCAAAGATGAGACTACTCTGAATTAAGAATACTCTAGAAGCAAAGAAGACACATAGTGTTGAATACGAACAGCTGGACCAACAATCAGTGCAAAAGGAAAGGAAAACAAGGGAGGAAGAAGTCAAACAAGAAGAATTGAGAATCGACCAATCTTTAGGATCAATAGCCCCTATATTCCAAAGAGCTATCCCTTCTACAAGAATTCTCGAGCAGAATTCATTAGCTGTCTCTCCTTTAGTAATATCGAGACCTAAGCCAAAAAGTGGAAGAAGACGAATAACATTTTCTCAGCAAGGCTCAAGACCTTTTCAAAAAATTATAGTAAAATAAATCTTCTCCAAAATCAAAGGTCCGTGCAAAAGTTTGTAGAAGTTTAAACAACACAAGAAGAGGAAGGCATATTTTCTCAAGCCAGAATAGGATTAAAAAATTTCTTTCAAAGAACTAGTATAAAGTAACTAAAATGATGTGAATATAGAAATGATGTAAAACCTCAAAGCCTCTCCCTAGCTTTTAAGCCAAGTACGACTAAATGACAAACAAGCATGCTTGACAAAAGTTGGAGCCAAACTTTCAGTTCAGCCCATTTTCATAAATAGAAAATCACGACCTGAAAAACCATTATACAGCCTAAGAGACGAAGGAAATAGAGTAAGCCTAGTCAAGAGAAAGATGGAAAGCCTTTGGGATAACTCTATCTGCCAGCCAGAAATAAAATGGAGCTTAGTCAGAAACCTTTACAAAAGTCAGAGCCGTACTTCTTTATACAAGAAACTTAAATAATGAGAAAAAGCAAGAGATAATCAACCACGAGGAACTTTTCTTGTATTATAACCAGATTAGTACCCAGATATATTTGATAAAGAAAGAACTTAGTGAGCCCCATGTATTTGACATTATGGATAAAGAAATTAAAGCGAATCAAGATATAGACGATTCAGGACAAGTAGGAATGGATGATAACGAGACGGAATCGTCCAGAGCTCCTCAACCTCCCAATCCTCCTATTCCAGAAGTATCTCCTTGCTTGAATGAAAGTAAGGACATTTTCTTGGAAACTGATTCTGAAAGCCAAGAATCAATGGACTTGAACAGGCCTGTAAGTTCTCTCCACATGGAACAAAAATATGCGAAAATTATGGATCAATGATCAAAAATCGGAAAAATGGGACAGAAAATTAGAGCTTTACAAGAGAAACTACGAGAAAGAACCAATTTGAAAATGAAATCAGACAATGTTGAATGGCTCATCAAGGACTATAAGCTCTCAGTAATGATGATGAGAAGTCTCCATGATAAATAAAATACAGGACCTTTCTACCAACCCTCCTCCAGATGCCCCTAAAAACATCAACAGTAAATCCATCCTAGCCATGAAAAACAAGTTATTAATGCTTGACAAAAGAGTAATAGAAAGATTGATCAAAGTTCGCCAAGGCCAAAACAAGTCATAACTAACCCCCAACCCCCACACAAAGCCCAGTCCCTAAACCTCAATCTCCACTTGTATTCATAAAAATGTTACAAATTTTCAATTGCTCATTACAAAATCGGGGTTTTGGGGTTTTGGGGTTTTGGGG